GCTTAGTAAGCTCACTAAAGTTTTGTTTGTTTTTTAAAATATATGTAAAATTTAGTCAATACTATATAAAACTTGGGATAAGCTACATCAAATACCATCAAACTTTAGGCATTGTATCGTTTATACCATGTACTTAAAGTTTTGCCAATTATAATATCAAACTTTGATTCTAGTTTCAATTATTCAACTGAACCGTTAAATCACTAACGACACGATGACGTGGCTAAAAACTGTCGATGTAGACACCTCACCAAAATGACTTTAGTTTGATCTGATTGTTAACGATTTAACGATCCAATAATATAATTGAAACGAAAATAAAAATTCAATTCTATAATTGACAAAATTAAAATTTCAGTGTTATAAACAATACAACGCCTAAAGTTCGGTGATATCTAGTGTAGTTTGCCCTAAAACTTATATAAACATAAATTAATAAAAAAGTGACAAAAGTAGTATGTGAAACGATTCCAAAGTTTCCAAAAGTAACAATCCACAAGTATTTTAAAGTAACATATTATAACCAAAATAACAAACTACAAATATATCAAACTACACATTACAACCATTCTTGAAGAAAAATAAGTTTAACAATATATAATAGATCCTAAAAATAAGGTAAATAATATCTTAACAAATATATAAAAAAATCAGCAAATTATTCAAGAGCTTATTGAATTAAATTAGACATTGTACTACTCGACTTGTTAAAATTTTAAATCACACTCAGATTCAAATTAAATTAATTTTAATTAAATTAAGTTCAAACTACACGTGCGACTAAGACTAAACTTAGTTAACACCCTAATTATACTTGGTGAAGATTTTAAAAATTGGACCTGACCGAACCTACTGGTACCTATATTGATATTCATGAAGAGGCCTTTTCAATTGCAAGATTAGAAACTGTGAACTTCGTATTTGCCTAAAAAACAAAAAGGATAAAATCTTAACCCTCAAGTTTTTAAATGAACCCGTCACAGTCAAAAGCAAGGAAAGAATTTCATTTATACACAGTATTGGATCTATAAATACTTTTAAAAGAATATATATATATATATTAATTATATAAATTTCATATCAAATAGCACAAATTGAAGATAGTCACTAATGAACAATTAATATAAATCGAACAACCTTGCATCCGCCACTGTTTCCACGTGGCCACTTATTATTTGGGAAGATAAGGCTAATACAGAAACCGACGGCTGAAGAGTTTATGCTCCCCAGAACTTTCTCCCAATTGACAGGTGGCTCCATATTTGTCATTCATCCAATGATTTCATGCCACCTGTACCCGTATACGCCCTCGGTTCTAAAGGGGAAACAGCTCCACGTCACCATTGAGCAAATTACTTTCCCACGTAATTAGGATTCTTCTTCTGAAATTTAAAAGGTAATCTGAAAATTAATTAAGTATTTATTAGAGTAGGTACGGTATCCATGACTGAAGCTTTGGCTTAATATACAAGATATAAACACTAAATGTAATTTGATATAAAATTTATCTTGTATATTAATTTTAATCTTAAATTTTAAAATATAGAATTTTAAGTCTTATATCTTAAATAATATCAATTAACATATTATTTTAAATAAACATTAAAATCTATTTTCAACAATTTTAATTGTATTTTTCTAATATTAACTTAACCAATGCGCTTAAATGTTTATTAAAATTTCCAAGAAAAAGATCGAGTGATGAAATGGTTTTAGTATCATCTTAATTACTAAATTAGTAATATTGAAAACTAGAGTACTGTTAGTGTTCAGTAAAATCTATATATTCACGATGCAAGTCACCACCTTTTCCCTATGTCTTTCTTCTTCGTTTCTTTGATTTGATTTCTATTACAGTGACCAAAAAGGGAAGAGAAATGTCGAGCAGCGATGAATTCTTGGAGGACTTGAATTCAAATGGGGATTCATCTGGGACGGTGCACCGGAGGTTCAAAGATCGAGCCAAGGTATAATTTTTGGCAACCCAATGGTTTTTCTGAGCCATTATGAATCGAAGTTTATGTTCTATCATCTGTTTTTCTTTTTTGTAATTTTATGATTTGGGGTTGCAGAAAGTAGCGAAAACAAAGGAGATGTTGTCTAAACAAGCGGTTCAAACGAAGGAGATGCTGTCGAAACAAGCTGTTAAGATCGCCAAACAAGCTGAAGAAAACGAACGCTTTATCAACAAGGTATCAATTTCAACTTTTTCCCCTTTACATTCATGTTTGTTCTATGTATTTAATTCCTGGGTTTTATGTTTATTATATGGATCTGAAGTTATAATTTTCGATTTTTTATTTGTTTTTCTTTCATGGGATTTTGATGTTTTAGGTGACACATCTTTTGGGGGTTCTCGGGTTTGGAGGGCTTTGCTTTCTATTGGGAGCAAGTGAGTTAACTCAGCCTTGAATTCATGAAACTGATCACTTAAACTGTTAGCTCTTGATTCCATTACTGAATTTTGCTCTGTTTTTTTAATTTGAAATTCTGATTCAGGACCACAAGATATTCCATATGTATATTGTGTGTTCTATGTCACCTTTGTTCCTCTTCGATGGATTTACTACCGCTTTAAGAAATGGCATTATTATCTTCTGGTAAGTCATATCTGAGCTCAATTTGGACTTGTTTTCAAGATTTTTTTTTTTTTTGAAAGATAGCATCAAGATGACGCATTTCTGTGTATGCTAGGATTTCTGCTATTACGCCAACACAATCTTCTTGGTCGACCTTCTTCTTTATCCGAAGAACGAAAAGTTGTTTATGATTTGTTTCTCATTTGCTGAGGTAAAAAATTGGGGTACTTGATTTCCTACATACATCTCCATTGGTGAATGAATCGGTTTTAACTTCTTCAATCTTTCTGATTGCTACTTTAGGGTCCGCTTGCATGGGCGCTCATTGTTTGGCGTTGTAGCTTGGTTTTTAGTTCTGTGGACAAAATTATTAGTGTCCTTATACATCTCTTACCGGGTATATTTGCAATCCTTATTTTCACTTGTTCTCTTTACAGAGCAATTTCTGAATGCGTACCCTCAACATCGTTTATCGAAGATACCATTAGCAATTGTTTATTGCACTATAAATTGCTTATAAAAACACCTTAAAATTTCCTTCTAATATGGTTTCTTGCTGATCTCAATGAAATGCTCCTATTTTTATGTATAAAGTTGATCTTCTGTTTCAAAATAAAGGGGTTGCCTCTATGGCTTCAATATGCAACCCTGAAAAGATGTTTAAGAAAGATGAGATGTTAAGTAACCTGAATTTTTCCATTTGTAGGGCATGCTCTGCCAGTAAAATTTTGGTAGTAAGTTGTTTAACGAGGAGTAAAGAACATATCAGCTTTTATTAATTCGTATTTTGCTTGTGTATGGTGGTTGAAAGACATTCCACAGGCTTAGTTTCATGTAGACCGTGAAATTATAGGCCCACCTGTCTTGTAATTCCTTGCCGGTGGCCTATAAATCCCTCTCAAGCCGTGAAAATTGTTGACACTTTGTAACTTAGGTGGATATGTGACAGTGTGAGTAGTATATTCGGGGAATTTGGTGTATTGCGGGTAGGTGTTGCTCAAGAGCACCATTGGAAGTTGATGGTTAAGGCTCTTTAGAAAGACCGGGCTAGTTTATATTTCTTTCTAATACGTCTGAATGTGCTGGATGACTAATGTGGTAATGTTCTGCTTTCAGGAATCGTGTTTTTCACTATTCGATGGTGGAATCCTGCAACCTTTGAAGCCATGCATCCTGAAGGTACATCTCACAGATTTTCATGGCCATATGTAGAAGACAAATCTTACCTATGGACTTGGTTGTTCGTGGTTCCCTTAGCTGCTTACACCCTTTGGCAAGTTCTTTATTTCCTCATTGTCAATGTTCTACGTCGTCAGAGGCTGCTTAGAGATCCCGAAGTCATGACTTCTTACAGGTTTGCTCTCTAAATTACCTTGATTCACAACATCAGTCCCTTGTAAATATTTTTATATATGTTTAAGCTGCCTGGCTTTGGAATGTAGCTTCATCCAGATGATTTCTTCATTTTATAGGGAACTTTCTAAAAAAGCTCAGAAAGCAAACAACATATGGTGGCGTTTAAGTGGTTTGCTCGGGGATCAAAACCGTTTGTTCATGTACATTTTACTGCAAGCGGTTTTTACAGTCGCAACCATGGCACTCACAGTCCCGATCTTTCTTTCGTATGAATTCCATGTGATTTTCCAAATACTCAAGGTTTCTGCATCTGTATGGAATGGAGGAAGCTTTTTGTTAGAAGTGATGCCAAGACAAGTGATTGTTAAGGAGAAAAAGAAATCGGAGGGGCAGGCGCCACCGGCATCACAAAACCAACAAGATCAACACTCCGATTCAATCTGAAACGAGATGGAGGAGAATGGATCTTCAGAGATCCACCAGCACCAGTCCGAATAGCTGTGCATGAATAGTTGGCTATAAAAACCATGGATAGTTTGTGTTGTATGTTGCAGTTCAAGGACGAACAGTGGATGGTTGTTTTATGACAGCCCTAACATGTAGTTTTCGAATTGTGAATCTGTAATAATTTTAAAGAAAATGAAGAGATAATATGAAAGGGAGACTAGTTTTGATCCATTTTTAGTCAAACCTAAGTAATGGACACAATTCTTACTAAAACCCACAAGTGTCGAGGTCAATGACTTAATTGTTTGTAGAAAAGATTTTAAATATGTGATAATTTAATATTTTTTTTGAAGTTGATTATCTCGGTTATCATTTCTCTGCTTACCTCTAATTTGTTCGATTGTAACCGGCACTTGAAAAAGACACTTTTGAAATAAGTCGGCTTCTTTTGTATCTTTTATCTGAAGTTATTTTCGTTAAATCTAGAATTCAATCCAACAATTCAGCCACAGATACAATATAGGTCTAAATTATCTTCAAATATTTTCTTAAAGAAACATTCTAATGTCCACTTTTGAGCACAATTATAAACAGAAAACGCATGCCATATATATAAACTAAATCTACTAAAGGACCTTTATTGCAATAGCCAAAAAGAATGACTACAAAAATCTAAATCAATAATACTATTTCTGGCCCAAAAACGAAAATTAGTAAAAGCCAGTGGCACCACCAAGGCCATGGTGCAGCAAATTATGAGCAATGCGGTCCCTAGCTTGATCAGAAGCCATGGATCTCAAATTGTTCTCAGGGATCACCTCATCATCAAAAACCTCGAATTTAAGCCCAGGCTCAATTTCCTCATTCCTCAGCTCGCAAATATTGTGTAAAACGCAACAAGCTCCAAGAACAACCGGCAATTCTTGAAGCTTAACCTCGATCCTTTTCTGCAAACAACCCCACCGCCCTTTCAGTCTTGCAAACGCTTCCTTTCCCACTTTTTCTATCTCCCAAATCTTCTCATTGAATGCGTGTTGGCCCCAAGTGAGATTCTGGTGAGTGTAGGGAACTAAAACCCAGTCCATCAGTGGATACCCTTTGCCCCCCACCACCCAAACGTCCTTCAACTGCCCCATGGTGGCTCTTTGGTGAAACGCCGATTTCTCCAGAACTTGATCGTCGGTCATGGATCCTGGCCAGCCGATGCAAGCGTCGGTGAATACGCCGTTTTGATCGACGACGCCTTGAAGGGTGATTGAATACGATGTTTTTTGGTTCCTCTCCGTGTGTTTCTTGTTGAAATATGAGGCGACGCTGGTTTTTGGTGCGATGATTGGGATGTGAGTCGTGTACATTGAACCGCCGACGTTTGGGATCCCGGTGATGGACTCGAATTCATCTTTGATTTGCTTCATTTTATTTTCGTCGGGCCATTGGAGGTATTTAGGCATCAGTACTGTTTTAATAGCGCTGCAAACCTCTAAAATCAGCTTATGGCAAGTTGAAATCCCTAATCCGAAGCGTTTCGATACCATCCTAAGCGGCTCACCGGTGGCCAACCTCCAGATACAAACCGCGACGCGTTGACGGACTGGGATCGCTTCACGGAGCATCGTGTTCTTTTTCATCACCGCCGTTTCCAACTCCTCGCAAATCAAATCAAACGTGGATTTACTCATCCGAAACACGCGTTTGAACTCCTCGTCGGAAAAATCCGGGTGATTGCACCTCTCCCACCAGTCTTTAGATCGGGATTTCACCCATAACCGCCGTTGATGCCCCGAACCGCCGCTCGATTCCGGCAAACCCGCATTGTCTGAACCGACTGAAACCGTCGATGAGCTAGCGGCAACTGAACCCGATTTACGAGAGCGTTTGTTTTTTCTCGAACTACTCGAGTCTTCCATTTTAGAACAATGATAAGTAGCATCGATTTCTTCAACTTTTTCTTTGTAATCAGCTTCGAAGGTAGGTTCAAACCCTGTGAGCCATTGATGTTGCTCTTGCTTTGGTGCTCCCTCGTCGAGCAACAAAAGCGAGGAAAGTATATCTTTAAACCCGTCGTTCTTCAAGTCTTCTCCATTGACTAAGGATTCATCAGTGTCTCTCCTACTCAATTTCTTACTGTTCCCATTGAACCCCATTTCCATATCCGAAAACCAAGAGAAATCCAAGGCGTTGTAATGAGAGAGAGGTTGTGGAGAAAGGAATGTGAAAGATTGGGTTTCCATATAAACAAAGAGTATGATGAGATTTTTGATTGAATGGCTTGATTGACGAAATGTGAAAGCAAAAGTGAGTTGAAAATGGGTGGGAACGGGGGGCGAGATCGTTTTGTTTATATACGTATCGACGGCTCTACGCGGTTACCGAGACGGGTGGCGCTAAGGAAGCGCGTGAATGTGAACGCGGGAGAGTGGCACATTGATTGTGACTTGACTTTTCCTTTTGACGTGGATTTTTTTTCTTTTAACGATTTTATAAGTAACTCGGAGAAACCTTAAATATAGTTTGCTTCTTGTCCCGCCAAACCTATTTTGTAAAATAGAGAAAATCATGACGAATTGACTATTGAGTATAGAAAATACTTTATGAACACATTAAAAGTCATTTATTGATAGAATTATTTAAATAATGTAATGAAAAAATATTTGAATAATATATATCAAAAATTATTTTATGATCTAAAATGTTTGTAAAATAATTAGAGAAATTTATCAAGATTTCATAGTAATTTTAGAAAGGTATATTTGAGTGCATAAGAATTTTATGATCTCATCCTACTGCTTGTATATGACAGTGATGTAGCTTGAAATACAGGGATACCAGACATCATGATAGTCAATAAGAGATCCTATTTTTTTATGGTAATTATTTAACCCTCTTTAGTTTATATTCTGATTTTATCTCTAACGATAGATTTCTTACAAAATCTTACAAGTTATAGTTATAACTACCTTAAATCATGAAGTAATTTTTTATGCACTTTATTAAAGTAATTTGTCCACTATAACATTAAAGTAGTTTAATCTTATTTCTTATTTGTATCAATATATAGATTCAATTAGATGCACTTTGATATATAAATATTCAATTAAGTGTACTTTTTTATATAAATAACTCCATTGTTTTTCTACTAATAATTTTTTAATCCCTTTTAGCTCAAGAAAAACGAATTCGAATAATAAGTAGTTGAATATGTCATCTGGCAAAGTAAAACAAATTCAGAGAATGGAATTTTGAATAATTTACATATGATTTAAATACATTACAAATAGTAACTAAAATATTCGTAGGAATATCCGAATTTGCACCGTCCATTATCATCCTTGTATGACAACTTGCTTACATATATCACAGCTTGCACGTGTGAGCTTAGAGCGGTCTCAAAACCTAGGCAAGCTTTAACTTAATGTCCAAGCTTAGAATCGTACCATAACAGAAGTAAGGTTATTGACAAGTTACATTCATTTGAAATAAATGAAGCAATATCCCAATGTATATCTGTATTTGCATAATGATACCTTACAACATGGAATATTTGTGTTACGTTCTAAACAATGAAAAACTGAGATAATAAGCCGTATCATAACCCAACCAAAATCTTATTATTATTGGGGTCCACAGTATAATATGCATTGTCAACAGTAATATTAATGTTGTTCTTTTTTTTCCTGCCTAAGCAATTAAAATCTCAGTAACACAAAAATGGCTGCAAATTGTAGCAGAGAAACCACCCTATCTGGAAAAAGAACTGAAGGGATAAAGCTGAAACATATGTACCTATAGGAGTAGAAGACCGAGCTCTGTTGGTCTCAAAGCATTTCGTATACGAAAATTGTACAGGTAGTAGTGGAGTTGTCCGTCACCTGGTCCGAATTTCAATTCTTTGAGGAAAGACTCATTGTGCATGACATCCAGTGCATTGAATACGTCAAAATCCTTCTGCTTAGCAATGATTAGTGCGTCGTTCATCAACTGAAGCAGTGGATCGTCTTTGTCAAAACATTATAGTAAGAGTAGGCAGCTTTCAAGATGGAATAGTTTTGGTTCCGAGAATCGACGATGGAAGTGTGTAGAAACTGCAGAAGTCAGTTATGTCGTGCGTCTCTGGGCTCTCTACCAAGTAACTGTCAACAACACCATCAGTAGGAAGAAGCCAGTGCTGCACATCATTCTCATCAAAATCCGGAGAAAACAACAAACTGACTCAAGTAGTTTCTGAGTAACAGCCAAGACATCACGAAGCTCCATCTTTCTGAATCCAGGGGTGACAAGAGAATCAAGCAACTTGTAGAGTGTAATAGTTTGGGCTCGGATCATCGTAGTCGGAGCCCCGAGCCTAGAAAAGCCGCACAAGAAATTGATCTCGGCCATCTTAGCAATTCATCACGCACCCTTATCCTCGAAAGGATACCAGTAATGAAAGCAACAAGCTTCTTCGAAGCCTTAGCCCGTCCACCGATGTGCCAGCTCTTGTAATAACCGGGAGGGCGTAAAGCCCACCTAAGAAACTCCTTGGAATAATTGGACCTAAACAAATTCTCATCTTCCTCGACATAATTGTTCTTCAACTGATTGTAAACCTCAGTACAAGTTTCTTCCGAACCCATATCACAGGTGGTCCATTTATAAGGTTCCTGCTTGACTTCGGATAAAAGAGTTGGTTGGCAGCTAGACCGGGCCCTCGGATATAGGAAGATCTGTGAGGGCACATTATTTATCTGTTTTAATTAGGTAAAGGGAGAAGCTTTAGGGGTTTTCTTCAATAGAGCGGCATAGAATATGCCGAAACAGCGGAACTCCACATTCGTCTTGGTGGGATGAGGTTATTCCCGAAATTTTTGATATAATAATATTTTAGGTACTTATCAATTTAAACTTCAATAAAATTAGATTTTTATCCCTTCTATTTTTTAAACTAAATATATAATTACTCCTTTTTTTATTAACCTAAGTAACTTGTCTTTCCTAATATTGTTTTTAACTTAGATAATTTGTCTCTCCTAATATTTGATCCTAGTTCCGTTCTTAAGTGGAATGGTAACATTGTAAATAGCAGTGTATTTTCTTGCTATCCAAACAACAATTATTTTGATGCTAGCTCAAAAGCATATGAATATAACACCCCAAAAGAACAAATAATAAAGATAATTTAAACTAGATTTTACCGCATTGGAATTGAAAGAGAATATTTTATATAAAAATATGTTTATTAAAATTTATTTGATAAATATTATAGAGTATAGTAATTATTATCTGCATATCGATTTATTAATTTTATGTTTAATTTTTAAGTATGAAATTTATTTTATTTTATTTCACTTAAAAATTCTATAAATGCATGAAAACATAAAAAATACAATTGAAATATTAAGTCAACCAAATTAATTTCTGGCCATGCCTATATTAAACATCAACTTATCACGTGTATTTGCTCAAAATTAGCTTAAAAATATTATTTGAGTCTAAAATTTTGGATACAGTGATAAAACAGAGGAAATAACCCATTTTCACTCTCCAGTCCTAAAGAGAAATTCCAAATTCACAGTTTCAAAGAGATCACATGTTTGAATCTAAGAGAGAATATTATTGGGAGAGGGAGAGGGAAAGAGACAGAGCTTAAGGTAGATAATAAAACGGACTCGAAGGATAGTTCTAAATGTATAGCTGGACCTTTGTAAAGTCTTCCTTTATGCAAAACTCAGACAGTGAGATTCCCTTAACTTTATGTGACGGTAAAAAAAGCTTGTATAGTGGAAGAGAACGTATAGAAGACTCCAGAGGCCAAAGTGAAAGCTATGCCCACTATTTATTAAAAACAAGGTATGAACAAGGCGACATGAATACAATAACCAATTTACAATGCCATAAAGTTCCAAAAGACGAGAAGAAGTCCCAGATGACTGATAAAAGCATAATCATAAAAAGATGAAAATGAAAACCAAAAAAAGAAGAAAAAAACAGTGAGTTAAAATTGTTAAGAAGATAAACTATTCCACTCATTCTACCCTTCTTCACAGGCTTTTAGTCACCGGCATTTTAGCTACCAGGTCCAAATTCAGGAGATCCAAGTCACATAATTCCTTGAAAACTCAAACTCCTACCAGCGATACACACCCCATTTCCGAGTTTAAAACAGTTCATATAGCTGAGCAGTTAATAATGAATTCTCTCATCACTTTCGAATTGCAAGCCCTCCATACCCTTGAGGGCAGCTTCATAGTTCTTGGCATGAGAGGCATTTCTCCCAGATGATGACCGCTTGGGGTCTCCGTGGCTAGAATGTTGGGGGTCGGCCTCGCTACCCCCAAAAGCTTCGCGACTGCCAGAAGCTGCAGCGTGCCTTGAAGAGGATCCACCTGGCTGCCCCATACACTTGATGCAGGTAAAATTCAAATCAGCAAATAAAAGATAAGAATCAAACGTGATATACATTGGAACTATCAAACGTAAACAGGACTACTTCATAGGAGTATGTGCGCGCACGCGTGGATACATCCTCATTGAAAAGGAAGTAAGACGATAACTGGAATTCTAGACTGTACTCGATACATGTGCATAATCATAAAATAAAAATACCATAGTGTCTTTAGTAACTGCAGGATAATTTCCAACCGGATTTTTCTGCTTTGAGTAACTTCCAGAATTCAAGGGTCCTGATGTTTTCCGCCTAGAGGAATTCATGGATGACAAACCAGTTGCCCGAGCGTTCTCCCCAGCTGCGAGAGTTCATTTCATTATTAAATATCAAAGAAAATTTTTAAAGAAAAGGATAAGGGTGTGCTTACATGTCCGTGTGGGTGTTAGAAACAAACACTTGAGTGATAAAAAATTCAAAATTTCAATAATAATGCTAATAAAAAAGACTCAAATGTATGAAAGGAACACCAATTACCTGTTTGTCTGTCAGCACTGGCAATGGCAGGGGGCAAGGGAGAACTTGGTCCAGCACTGGGGCCCTACCAGAGACGAGCATTACAAAAGATACATTCATACTATTAACAAAAAACAGTAGCAGAACACCCTATTAAGAACTTACAATGGCTCGTGCTGGAGGAGTGGTCAGCTGTGATTGCTGATACTTCAAAATGGTCCAATCAAAGACATAATCAAACTGGAAACCTATTTTGAGAAGTATCAACAAGAACAATGAGAAGATGTGACATTACTGTGAACTATGGAAATAATACAAGTTGACAGTAAGGATTGTTAATGTCGACCTTCACGAATAAAGAGGTCACGAAAGATTCTTTTTGAGATAAGAGTAGTCTGGCTTGTCATCAAATCTTAA